GGAGGTGGTGGTGAACCACCAGCGGCAGCAGTCCAAAATGTGTGCCATTGCTGTNGGTGGTGGTGGTGGTGGTCCTGCTGCTGCTGCTGCTGCTGCTGCTGCTGTGAAGCATCACCCAGCTGCCACCAAGACAGCAGCCACCAAGAAGAAGCCAGCAGCTGCAGCACCACCAACAACCGCTTCCCCGCCTGATGACGATGGTCTGCCTAGCAAAAGCGAGGTACTATCTTTTGTGCGTGCGCTGTGGGATAAGGCACAGGCGATGCTGGAGAAAGACCTTGCTGCTGCTGGGCCTGATGGGCCCGTCACTTACAGCACCGCTGTCCTGCTCATGCATGCGCTGCTGGCGGAGATGATATCTGGTGTCTACATTCCGCCTGTCCGCTTGTCCGTGTTGAGCACCTTGATGGTGTCAGGCATGCAGACCTGCAAGCAGCAAGACTGCTTCCAGATGGACTGCCGCGGCAACAACCTGGTCGAGGTGATTCCTGTAGCAAGGGCAGGGGCAGGGGCGGATGGCAGCCATGGCGCTAGCAGCAGCAGCAGGAGCAGCAGCAGCAGGGGCCGTCGTCTTGTGATGGAGACCATCCATCACAAGACGGAGCGCTTTAAGAAGGATGAGGCCCTGAGAATTGTGCTCCCTTCGACGCTCTCCCAGCACATCCGGACTTACACAGAGTATGCCCGGCCAGCGCTCCTCAACATGAATCCCAGCATTGACGATGCCAGCAAGGAGCCTCCCTTCCTGTTCCTTGACAGGAAGGGCAGGCCGGTTGCAGGTGTCGACGCCCCATTCACGGACGAATGGAAGCTTATTCAAAGGAAGTATGGTGCACCCTGGCCGACAGTATTCTGCCCCATGAAATTTAGGCACCTCCATGCCACTGTGAGGTTCAAAGACCTGGTGGACAATGTGGCAGACCAGGAGGAGGAAGCCCTCGCAGGGGATGCACTCGTCATGGGAAATTCTGTTGCTGTCTGGCGCCGCCACTACATAAAGGGTCGTGACAGCATCGTGGCACAGAAGGCTGTTGGGCAGCTCGGGCGCTGGCGGGCCATGGAGAGGCAGAAACAACACGGTGGCGGTGGTGCTGCTGACACTGGAGGGGCAGCGGCAGGCAGGCAGCAGGGTCAATGGATGCAG